GTCTGTTTGCTTTATTTCTCTAGGACAAAATTCTATCTATACAAGTTCTGTCCTGACTCTCAGTTCCTCTCTGTACCTACTTTTCCTGTCCCCTCATAGCCCTAGTAATAACTGAGCCCTTATGCTTTTGACCTCTCTTTATCCTCTGTTCCTTCATCCTCCACCTTTCTTTCCTTGCTCCTTACTCCTGGCTCTGAGAAAACTCTACAAGAGATCTGCCTTACCATCTACAGAACCTCCGCCTTTCTCTCTTCTCTCGGGTATGCAGCTCTGTCCACCATCTACAGAAAAACTGCCTTGTTCTTCCTCTCCTCACCACGTGACTCTCTGCCACCAGGAATTCTGCCTCACTCTTCACTCCACCTGAATATGCAAAAGCCTCCTTTGTTCTGAGTCAGTTGCTCTGGAATGCCATTTCCCTGCCTGGGGAAGGGAGGTCTGAGCTTCATTTGCACAAGAAGCAAAGCTATGCATCTACAGCCCACCTTTCTCCTAGGCCCAGAGGGGATGTTAGTTACCTAGTGGATCAGCAGTAGGTCTGAGAAACTTAGCTGTTTGCCAAAATGGCCTAATAGTATATGGACACACAAGATTTTCATAGCAGAAGACAGCTGAAATATTAAAAACTGAATAACACCAAATATTCCTTGATAAATGTCTTCCTCTAGAAAAATGCCTTGAAATTTCTAGGTATAGCTTTGATATACAGCTGAATCTCTGTAACATATTCTTGCAGTTCACAAGAGCCCAGCAGCTGCTCCTGATGACTTGGGTCTCCTGTGTGTCTCATGCTGAAGACTGCAGTGGCGGGGAGCTTTCTGAGTTAGTCTCTCATGTCCATAAGTTCACAGGGTGAACAGCTCCTCCCAGAGCTTTCCCTGCTGCATAGTGTGTCCAGCCCTTCGGTTCCGTGGGTGCCTGGAGGTTATTTTTATGAAAGCTTTGCCCTGGCACACTCCATGTTGGGGAGGCATTAGTTGTGACCTTCCTATGTTCAAGCATAGTGGACCCAGGATGGGGAGACACTCAGCCAATAAAGTGCTTACTAAGTGTGGTGGTTTTAGTTGCCAATGTGGCAGAACCCAGAATCACCCGGGAGACAAGCCTCTGGCCACACCTGTGAGGGATTATCTTGGCTTGAGGTGGGAAGACCCATTCTAAAAGTGGTGGCTCCATTCCCTAAGCTTGGGGTATAAAAGTATAAAAGGGAAAGTGGCCTGAGGACATTCATTGCTCTCTACTCCCTGACTGGATGCACTGCAACCAGCTGCTTCCGGTTCCTGTTGTCCTGACTTCCTGCTGTGATGGACTATCCTGTGAACTGTTCCTGTTGTCCTGAGTTCCTGCTGTGATGGACTGCACTCTGAACTGTTCCTATTGTCCTGACTTCCTGCTGTGATGGACTGTCCTGTTAACTGTTCCTGTTGTCCTGACTTCCTGTTGTGATGGACTGTCCTGTTAACTGTTCCTGTTGTCCTGTCCTGTGAACTGTTCCTGTTGTCTTGACCTCCTGCTGTGATGGACCGTACTCTAAACTGTTCCTGTTGTCCTGACTTCCTGCTGTGATGGACTATCCTGTGAACTGTTCCTGTTGTCCTGACCTCCTGCTGTGATGGACTGCACTCTAAACTGTTCCTGTTGTCCTGACTTCCTCCTGTGATGGGCTGCACTCTGAACTGTTCCTGTTGTCCTGACTTCCTGCTGTGATGGACTGTCCTGTGAACTGTTCCTGTTGTCCCGACTTCCTGTTGTGATGGACTGCACTCTGAACTGTTCCTGTTGTCTTGAGTTCCTGCTGTGATGGACTGCACTCTGAACTATATGCTACAACAGACTCTTTTGGATTAGGAAAGCAGCTGAACACTTTAAAGCAGACTTAATGAGCCATACTATTAGGAATGTTGAAGACAGTGGTGCTGTGTGTAGGCCTGGCTGTTAGCTAATATTATTTCCTTCTTGGGTCTCTGAGGGAGTTGAAGATTAGTTAGTTATGGTTGAAGATTAGTTACTTATAGTTGAAAATTAATTACGATAGAAAGTGCATTAGATACATCTTGGATTTACCAAAATAGGATAGATAATGGAATTATTTTCTCT